TGCAAATAAACCTAAATAATTTATTAATTTATCTAAGTACACAATTTCATTAAATTTCATTAAATCTGAGCAATAATTTCCACCAAAATTCATGAACTAAGATGAACTAAGAGTGGTTCTTAACCCAGAAAGTTATAAACACAGACAGTTACTTATGATCTTGTATATTAATCGAGCTTGAATTTTCACTAAACTAGACCCAAACTTAACTCATTGGAGTGAATGAGTGAAAATAGAAACCACGTTTTACGCGGCAAATTTCATATTTTCTTTCCCTAATTGTTCAATTAAGTTTAAAAGTTTCTATACATAGTTCATATGCGATTCATGTAAAACGTACAAAATCTTTCCTAAAACAAATTTCATATAACATTCAAATACAATACAACACCACAAGAGAAATATATCTACCATTCAGATTCTCACACATTTGGCCATGGAAATAGATACAAGGATTGTATGGTCAAATTTTACAGGTTAATTTACCAAGGCCGAGGTAGTAACCTAGATAAAGGTGAAAGTCGGAGGCAGTAAAACAAAAATCTAACCTATTCTCGTTTGTCCTCCTCAGTATCTTCCCCTAGGCGTAATTACCAGTCCCTTCCTTTCTTTCCTTTCCAGTTTAGAAGCCATATCTCCTCCACTGGTTAAACAAATGCCTTCCTCTTCCAACTCTTCACCTGTCTCCTCTGAATATGCATACCTGCAAGCAATATCAATGCTAACACTTCAACAGCTACTTACATAGTAAAAAAAAAAAAACATGATTGTATGAAATTATTGCCAAGTACACAAACCTTTTTAAAATAATTGTGTACTTATTGTATGAAATTATGTGTGAAATGTATAAAAGAGACTAAAGATGTAACAGCTCAAGCTCACCGCTAGCAGATATTGTCCTCTTTGGACTTTCCCTTTCGGGATTTCCCTTAAGACTTTAAAACGCGTCTGCTAGGGAAAGATTTTCACACCCTTTAAAGGGTGTTTTGTTCTCCTCCCAACCAACGTGGGATACCACAATCTACCCCTTCAGGGCCCAGCGTCCTCGCTGGCATTCGTTCCCTTCTCCAATCGATGTGGGATCCTCACCAAATCCATCCCCTTCGGGGCCAGCGTTCTTATTGGAACACTGCCTCGTGTCTACCCCCTTCAGGGAACAACCTCCTAGCTGGCACATCGCCTGGTGTCTGGCTCTGATACCATTTGTAACAGCTCAAGCCCACCGCTAGTAGATATTGTCCTCTTTGGGCTTTCCTTTTCGGGCTTCCCCTCAAAGCTTTAAAACGCGTCCGCTAGGGAAAGGTTTTCACACTCTTATAAAGGGTGTTTTGTTTTCCTCCCAACCAATGTGGGATATCACAAAAGAATACTAAAAAAAAGACTAACCGGTGTTAATGGTAAAATAATTGTAATTATAGGAACCAAGTGGGTACCAAATTGAGCTCCCATGTTTTCTCTCAATCTTCCTCCCTTTGACAGAAAATTCCAGAATTTCTTGCTTTCAAGATCCACTATCGGATGCTTTTGACTCTTAGCCAAATAGTGAAAGCCCTCGAGTTTAAAGCAAATATTCGGATTAGGCTACCAATTTTGTTTATACAGGCAGTGTTCTTCTAGAAACATGCTTTTTTCACGTCCACCAAGAAAAAGGAAAGGTAAACTTTTCCTAGTGGGTGAACTGAAAAGGTTATTCCAATAAAAAAAAAACATGAGCATACATAAATAAATAAACGTATTCCGGGTCATTATCCAGAAAGATTTGCACCTTGTGGGGTTACTTGATGGAGCCCAGAGTATACAGATCACGGCCAGGAGACAAAATGACAGGAAAGTCCAGAAAGCTGGAATAACCCAAGCGATGTTCCAAAGCTCACTTAATGGATCAGTTGCATTGAAGTATAGCTAAGTCAAAAACAAGAGAAAAAAAATGAGTCAATACTTAGCTCATGGTTTTTTATTCGTTAACAAACCACGTGCTTTTAGAGGAGTAGCAAATCTAAGTATTCAACAAGATTAGTGAAAGGATGGTATGGCCGTAAGGGAGACTCAATAATCCAAAAACCAGAAATGTCTTGTGCACCATATGGAAGAATTCGTTATGATTAATTAAATCCACAAAACATTACCTCGAAGCCGATCCAAGTTATAGAAAGTAGGACGGATACAACAAGAGAATTGGTAAATTTTCTATATAACTCCAGCTTTGCCATGTTTCTCTTTATCTGCATCATTAGAAACAGTAAGAATGGGTTAATTAAAAAAGGTTTTGCATCTGACAGATAAGAAATCTCAAGCAACCCTTCAGCCATTCCCAGCAACCAAATCCATAATTTGTTTGGAGGCAGGTCTATCGGTTATATACACAGTATTCCACCACAGAGATTCAATCAATTCACTCAGGGAATACATGGTTATACTTGATTGTTAAAATAAAAGACTTAATGCAGAAACCCCACAAATGAAATCATGGTCGCGGGGATGCATAAAATAGTTAATAACTTAAGCCTGCATACCTGAAGTTTTTCTAATGTTCGCGACAGAGATGAGAAGATCCAGATAATAAAGCAGGAATCCAAGAAAGCAACAGGTAGAACCAGAAACAGCCTTGCTTTTCCATAGAAATCATTGATATTACTTAAATGTTCCACAAGCTCAAGTGCCTCTGATGCAACAAAATATACGAAACCAAGAAAAAGCACTTTTGAAGTGATGGCACCAAGGGTAGGCCTCACCACTCCAAATCCCATCGAAACAACCAAAAGAAGGAGACGAGACAATGTCTTCTTCACAGATGTAAAGGTTGCTGCCCATATAGTAATTCCCATTGGCCTGCTTCCAGTTGAATTAAAGTTGGCATACTCAAAGTACCATACACCCATTTCACACATTCCAAGAGCAATAACCGTTGTAATGTGGTAATGTAACTGTATAACATCCTTCCAATACTTAACAAACCATAGAAACCAGATTAGGCCAAGCAAAAGATATGCTAAAGACATGAATTCGTAAAATTTCAGCAGAGGAGCCATCTTCCCTGGTAAATAGCCATCCGGATTTCTCCACACTGTCCTTCCCTCGATTATTGTGCCTTTGAGTTGTGGATCACAAAACATAAAATACAGGTAGTACATTCCAGTACTATTGATTTCAATAGTTTGAGGTGGAATGACAGCAGTTTCATCTTTCCCAACAAAGAATGTCTTGATGCGTTTAGGCCAGCCGGGGTTGTTATGATTTTCATTGATAATAACCTCACCTGACTTGCAATGTCCAGCATCGTGAAGACTGCGTGTGCAGCATACCATATCTGACTTGAGGAAGGAGCCTCCAATTCGCTCCCTATCTTTGACCTCAAAGATGATGGCCTCCACCAATCCAGTAAATTGCTGCATTTCATTCGTATGACTAGCTGATTCCTTCGTCCTCACGAAAGTAACAGTTTCAAACCTAACATTTCAAATTTAAGGCTTAAATCCTACATATACAATGGCAATATCTTGAACAGACTAATAAGAAGCAAGAAAATCCCAATCTATTCCTCGCAGATAAATAATTTTTTCTTCTAATCGTTACAAAATATTCATCAGCAGAACTAGTTGATTGATAGCACTATAAAAGCAGGTCTTTCATGTTTCGTTTCTCAATACAGATGAAAAGAAGAACGAAACTGTTATAGGTAAAGAAAACAGCATAGTGACGATTAAGAGAACAATAAAACTGTTGCCACTCACTAATTAATGAGTAAATAAGTAGAAAACCTAGCAAAATGACGCAAATGTTCGGTTAATCGAATGCATAAGAGATAGAAAATCGTCATCAAATTTGTGGAGAGACGAATGATTACCTGATGAAGGACTTGCCTTTGAGAGATTTGTCAGTGGAATTTGGAGAAGAAGAACCATGTACCTTCGAAGCGAGAAGAGCTTCGCTGCCGCCATGGAAGAAGAAACCATTTGACTTGGGGATGAAAACTTCGCTTCGATACTCGTGAATTGAAGCATCAACCTCCATGAATTTGTCGCACAAGAACATCAATCCAACGAAAAAACTGATCATCCATGCATTTCCAATCCCGATCGCCTTGCGATTCCTTTCCGTTCGCGCCATTTATCATTGGGCAAACGTAGTGCGCTGATCGACAGTAAATTAAGCAGACAAGAAAATCACACAGAATCCTTCGCAGTGCCAAACGGCGTCGTTTGAGTTTGAAAAATAATAACACAATTTTATTTTTAGAAAAGTTTTAATTAAATTTTAATATTTCTTAATTGTACCATCTTTATTAAAAATATATATAAACTAAAATTAATTTTTCCTAAGTTAATAAGTTGCAAACTTTTTATAAATTTTGAACCCAAAAATTAAAATTTTCAAAATTATGTAATTTTGATACAAATGCTCCCACGCTCATTTGTATTGAATTTGCACTCGAGCACGTTCCATAATTTTTATCATTTGATCATCCAAATGTAACTGTAGTTTTGTCTCGAGGGCTTTGCAGCTTGTTGAATGCAACAGTTTTATTTTCAAATGCAAACGGGTCTATACAGATTTAAAAAAATTTATCGAATTTAAAATCATAACCTCTAAAATCTCGTTCGTAATATTTGAATTGAGATATTTTTTTAATTCTGGGTCTGACTCTTCAAACTTAAATTTTGTCGGATTATAACCTAAGATTTCAACTTGATCCAATTTGATCAAATTAAATTTTATTATTTGCTCGGACCACAATAAAGACATGGCCTTAAAATTTAGGGTATGTCGACATAATAATTAGTATCAAATTTAATAGGCGGTGATCTTATCGTTAATAGTAATAATTTGGATTAAAATTTAAATATTTTTCTATAATAAAACAAATACAATTTTTAAAGCACAAAATGTGATCGAAATAAAGTTTAATGTTTTTTTCTTTTTTTTTTTTGGTTAAATAATGCGCACATGTATTCGTTTCACACTCTCAACCTTTGACCTGTATTTTGTCGTATCCATAAAACTGATCCAAATCCAACGGCTGTGATTAAATCTTATGATCATGACGCTATTTACATCACTACAACAATTGACAGCGGTCTCGAAAGGGAAAAAAAACACTTTCTGCAGATTAATAATTATAAACTAGAGATTTACCCAAAGCTAGAACATCTAAAATCAAATCACACCGGCGGGACCGGAAGCCGGCGGCGGAGATCGGAGGTGTTGAATTTCAAAAGTGAAATTGTAAGACATCGTCCTCAAAGTCGCCGATGGAACCGGACATCATAACCTCGGAGAAGTCGTCGGGTGAAGGGCCGGCACTCATGTAATCGGACGGCGAGCATACCTCCTCCGCCGCCGTTCCTCCCATTACAACTTCCGTTTTGACTACGCGAGCCATGGCATCGGCATCGGTGTCTGCAGGCAAGAAGAACTGGTTCCTTTCGTGGTCGTGTACGGCGGCCGGGGCGGCGGCGGTGGGACTGTCGAAACTGAGGAGGACGCCACCGGAATCGTCGAAATTTGAGGAACCCAGTACGATGTCGGAAGTGTTGAGGAAATTGGTGCAGGTGTGATGGCCGTAATAAGTTGTACGGAACTTGGGTGGATGCTCTTCCACTCGCTGGACTTGCTTCGAGGCTTGGCAGCCCTGGTCGAATTTATGCGTACATCGGTAGTAATTCCTCGGGAATTTCGCGTTTTGAATCGACTTCTGCCCGTACTTCCGCCACGCATGCCCGTCGTCCACCAGGCTGCTGCTGTCTCTCGCCCAACTATGGGAATTCCTCCTGCAAATCATCCATACTCTGAGTTAAATTAAGTTTCAATCAGTTCACTGCTAGCAAATATTGTATTTCTTGTTTTATTTTTTTTTGGACTTTCTCTCAAGCAATTGTCCCGTATCTGGGTCTGATACCATCTATAATCGTTTAAGTTCACCGCTAACAGATATTGTCCTCCGTTTTTAGTTTCAGGCTTCCCCTCAATGATTTTGAAACGGGTAGGTTTTTATCTTTCGTTCTCCCCTCCAACCGATTTGGATCTCACAATCCACCTATTCTAGAGCTCAAAATCTTATCTCACACTCGTTCCCATCTCTAATCCAACCCAACTCCGCCTCCTTGCTGGAACATCGCCTGGTTTTTGGCTTTAATACCATTGGTAACCGATAACAAATATTGTCTTCTTTTGAATTTTGAGAATTTTCCCTCAAAATTTTTAAAACACGTCTGCTACAGATATGTTTTGTTCTACTCTCCATGGAACCGAGTGGATCTAGAATAGATCAATTAAATTAGATTAAGATAAATTAAAACTAACCTTCTCTTATAGCAGCCCCTCCGATCATTGGGGGTGGAGCTCCGGCAGCTGTCTTCAGATTCCTCAGGCGGAGAATTATCCACAATAGACCCATTAATGTCGTCGGCGTCGGAGGAGCGGTTCAAGACGGAGATAGTTTTGGAGAAAGAGGATAAGATTTTAGCGACCAGATCATCGGAGACTGTTCCGCCGCAGCTGGAACCACTCCGTAGATGGGCTTGAAGTTGTCGGGCGAATTCATGGCCACGAAGCAATTGATCGGCGACTTTTTTCCGATCAAACGGCGTGGATTCAACCCAAGAACAATCCATATTATCCGATCTCTCGGTTGGAAATGACAAGGGCAGCCTCTCTGCTTTTATATTCATCCGTTCCACTGCAAACGCAAGGAAGATATTAGGAAATTACTCAATTTCCACACAAAAAGGAAATGTAAAACCCACGCGCATTCACCTTTGTTTGGTGTAGACGCGAGTCATCGAGGGCTTTCATTGGAGGAAAATACCAACGCGCGCGTGGACTAAATAATGCTGATCATAACTGAGGTAAGGCTGGTGAGGTCAGGGCAGCATCGTCACCCTCCACTTGCCTTTAATTTAATTCTTGTCTACCATTTTTATTTTTTTTGCTTTAAGTCGAAATTACGATAATACCCTCCCATCAGTTTACTTTTTTTTCCTTTCTAAAGGACAAGACTAACTACAGAGGGACAAAACCGTCTTTCTCCCATCTTGTCCAGCGCCAACGTTGTATTTTCGGAATTCGCACCAATAACCACTTGTTTTTTCTTTTTTCCTATTACTGTTAAAATCAATTTTTAATTATTTAATTTTAAATTTAATAAATAGTTTATTTATTTAGTTTTATTAAATCTCTAATTGACACTAAAAAAATTATAAGCTATAAATTCTCGTAATTTAATTTTTTAAATAATGTTAAATTTTTAGTCTGATATTTTTTTAAAAAAATAGATATTTTCAATGAAACGACAAGAAATAAATAATTGGTATATTTAAATTATTAAAGAAAAAAAAAAGGAAATAAATAGCGAGCAGTTGGCATAAATAAATTTAAATAGGGAAGGGACAAAAATGTAATAAAGACAGTGTGAACGGATGGGATTGAAACTTGGAAGGCAAGGCTTTCACACGTGATGTGGAAAAATAAACCCAAGAAGGGGAAAAGCTTTTAATTTTTATTATAAAATAAAATTTTAAATTTGTGACTCGGATTGTAATATTCTATAGTTGGTGGGCTTCCCCTTTTGGGGGGCATCGTGTAATTATTTTATAAATCGTGATAGATACGTAAAAAAAAAAATATCATAGAAGGTCACCCGACATGAGATTAATCTAAGCTAAACGCGCTTAATTTTCAAGTTTTATAATCGAGTTACTGTCATATCTTCAAAATCACTCTCATGCAAACGTGTTCTTGTCTTATTCACGTACCTCTCTTTTACTCGGACGTAACTCTTCTTACCCAGACAAAGGTTATTGGCTTTCAAATGTCATAGTCTAATAGCTCAGATAAATAACGGATAAACGACCCTCGACCCAATAAGAGAGTGAGTTGCTTCCTACTATACCGATTGATCTTCTGTGACGTTTCACTTGACCTCACACTAAAAACGAACATACATTGAGCTTATTTTGTCTTAGTCGGTGGGCTAAAATAACTCTGTTAGATGAACATGACTCTCCACAATAGTGTGATATTGTCCACTTTGAGCATAAGCTCTCGTTGTTTTGCTTTGGGCTTCCTCACAAGGTCTCACATTAATGGCGACAGTCTTCCTTGATTATAAACTCATGATCATTTCCTAAATTAGCCAACGTAGAATTTTCATCCACCAACAAACTCATCACGTACTTTAGATTAACGGGATACGTAACAAGTTGAAGCAGACAATATCTGCTAGTTGTGGGCTCGGACCGTTACACTATACCTATATATCCTAATTACGATAAAAAGGATAGACGCACACGAGAACTTATTTCATAGGGATACCACATCTTCTTGATTATCTAAACTTGATGTTATGCCGTGAACCTATACATAGTCCGTAAAACCTTAAACTATTGTTATAATACTCGATTTTTTAACAATATATATAATTTAAATTATTACTCTATTAGTAACAATAAATTTATTTTGAATTTTGTGATAAAAAAAAGTACAAAAATTTATGAAAACGACACCGTTTTTAATATTTTCATATTTTAACGAATAATGATTTAATGACAATTTTTGTTATAAATTAATAGTATAAAAACAATTATTCTATTTTGTTAAATTAAAATATGTATTGAAAAAATAATAATGGTACAAAATTTATAAATTTAATATTTTATAATTTATAAATATATTATCCCACAGAACTTAAATCGGGATTTTAATTTATAAATGGAAAAATCTTAATTTTTAAATTTATGCATTTAATTTATTTCCTATTATGACTGATTATATATATATATATATATATATATATATAAAGGCACGGTTGACAAAGTTTGTCTTAAAAGCGTATTAAGCCAAAACGCGAGCCGTGGAAGTACAAATTCGGTCGACTTTTTCCGATTCCGGCTCATCGTTCCGGCGGTCACGGCAAAGGCGACGAAGCGAGAAGAAGGGGAGAGCGAATCAAGAGGCCTCCCGTCGGCCATTTCTCTCAAATTTCTTCGTGAGTAGCGGTGCGTTACATGTTTGTTTGTTTCGTTGTCGCCTGGATTTCGAGATCGCTTAGGTTTTTAAGCGCATTTACTCTTTTTTACAATCCTACATTTGGTAATCTAACCGCTACGGAATCAATTGCAGTGCTTTGCATTCTCTATCTCGTTTGTCACTCTTATGTGGATTGGCGATTCTTTTTGGTAACAATGGCGGAACAGCTAAACTAATTTTTCTTCGTTTTTTTTATTGTTTTCAGTAAGCTTCTGTTTGTTTGTTTTCCTTGGATTTTGGTTTTGTGGTTGATCTAGGATGCCGCATGATTATGTGCTTGGAGAAGCTATTCATTTCGGTTTCGAGATCACTTTGGCGGTTCATTTTTTCGTTTTCGTTTTTGCTTTTGTTTTTTGTTTTTTGTTTTTCAAACTCAATTACTCTCCTTGTTCCTACATTTTGGTTATCATACTGCTGCGGAAGGTTTTTTAAAAATTTTAGTTTATTTCTATAATTCGTTTACTTTTTTTGTTCATATATTTTGATTGTCAAACAGTAGTGCTTTAATTTCTCTCTCCAGTCGTCCGTTCTTGTGAGGATTGAAGGTTCTTGTTGGTAATAATGCCAGGATAATTATATAAACGTTCGCTACTTTTTACTGCCTTTTTGTTCTCAGGTAAAGTGAAGAGTCTAAATTATTATCCTTCTCCCCTTTCTGGGATTTCTTGCATCTGTCGGATTTTAGTTTAAACGGGGAATGGAAAATGAAAAGAAGAAGAGAAAAAACAAGAAAAAGAAAAACAAGCAGATTAGAACCTCAGAAGATGACACAATTGCTTCAGAATCGACTTCTGTGGACGATACTCACACAACAAATGGACAGAATGATCAAAATCCAATTTCTGGTACAGTAGATCCTTCGTATCAGCAGAGCAGGGGAACAAAAGATGTAAGTTTGTCTTTGAATTCTATAATGATTTGTTACCGATCTTTATTATTAGGTGGTTTGATTCATCGCAGAGCTGCTGGATGTTGTAAATGATGACATGAACATGTGTAGCCCCTTCTATTTGTTCATTTGTCTTATTTTATAAACATGAATGAATCAGCTCCATCATTGAATCTCATGCATACCATCTTACCAAAGACCAGAAAGCAATGCCGAAAAAACTGATGCTCTTCTCTCTGTCATAGCCACAGTCCTTGTAGAGCACCATAAATAAAATACAAAATCCATGTTATCTAAATTCACTATCAATATTAGAACAACACTTAATATGATTTTTGTAGGCCGTTTCTGAAGAGACAAACGAGCATTTGAGGAAGGAAAGCCTTTTGCTTGCACATGACAAGGTGATGTCATCATTGAACAAATTACACTGGTGACAGTATGGTGCTTACTTTCCCCTACTAATGCATTTTTTATTTCTTTGCAGGCTAAGCTGGAGGATACAATTAAACGCTTACATGAGGAAAACAACGTACATATGCAAAAATTGGTAATCCATTTTTGCAAACATTCAAGTAGCTGATCTATGTGCTTGTTTTTACCTTTCCTTTCAGAATTGTATGCACGTGTTTATCAAATAATTATTTATTGCAGGCTGACCTAGAGTTGAAGCTTGTAGAATTTGAGGGGGAAAAGCACTCATGGCTTCGAAAAGAGGTTTTTTCTTCTCAAACTATTTTTTTGCTATGCACCAATCTAATCGTTTTAATTAGCCATATTTATTTATTTTTTTAAAAGCAGGAGGCACATTAAAGTACAAATAACTTCAGAATTTTTTGTTATTGTGAAGCGCGTAGTATGAAAATAAAAAAATAAGAATATTTTGTATGGTAAACTGTAGTGTTAATAATAAAACCGAGAAAAATAAAAGAAACGAGAGCTTTTTAAGAGATTCTTAAAAGGCAGGCTTTTAGAGAACATTGCATATTTCGTGAACTAATATAAGAAAAGATTGAGACACGAGATGGCACCCTGAAGGTGTTTAGTGTCTAGATGCGCCTTTGCAATACAATCATCTTCCCCTACAACCTTCATTTTGCATTACAATTTCTTCTTCTTCTTCTTCTTCTTCTTCTTCTTCTTCTTCTTTTAATGCATCTGTTGGTTCCTAAAACCTAGTATTATCTCCTTAGAGATTGGGTTCAACTGTTTGCAATCTGCAGGAAACGTTAGTGGATAAAATTAGAAGGTTACAAGAGGACAAAACTGCTTTGGATTTAGAAGGGGTAATTTTTTCTAGGCTGCATAGTTCCTTCTCTTCCAAACCATTTCATCATTGCTATTTTTCAGCTTGTTTCCTCCTGAACGTGCACAATTCTATGTTCTATTAATTTCCCAGAAGTTATTGATGCGTCACTAAATTTCCTCATTTTGTATTATGAAGGCCAGGTTATTGCACACAATTGAGCAACTAGAGAGAGATAAAGCTTCATTGATTTTTAATGAGGTAATCGATATACTATTGATGCTTGATAGAGACATGCTGTGTGGTTACCACCTCTTTTACAAATATGGTTCTTAATTCTTTATGGTTGATGAGGAAAAGTTTGTGGACAGTTTTGAGCTTGATTATATATGTTGTTTTGGATACACGAAGGACTCACAGTATGCTGTCATTGAAAGGGGTCTATATTCCTATTGAGGTGGTTTGTCTTTCACAGAATTCAAGCACGGAGATGATTGTGGATAAGAACAAGGACATCTCTAGGTTACAGGCGCAGGTATACTGCTTCACTAACTCAAGTAATCCACAAATAAATTGCATGAACACGAGTTTTATCTCTTTCAGTTGCTTTCTAGTTGTGCAAATGGCCACCAACTTTGATGTCACCATAGTCATTGGAAGAACTAGTAACAAGATGAATAGGGTCGGGAGGATATTCGTGTTTTAAATGTATTGTCGTTCAAAACTACTTATTTACTTGCGTACACGTTCATTCATTTATGAGCTGCCGACATAGGACACTACTTTTTTGTTCTGATGAGGAATTGAAAACAAGGCCTGACAGGTTGTGGCGTTGGAAGAACAAAGGCGTGATCTGTTGCAAGAAAACAAACAACTGACGGAAAATGTTGCTGATTACCAGTCAAAAATCACGATCCTTGAGAGGAAAATCTCTTCCACTCACACTCACTCTTCAGATCGAGTCACAAAGGTTCACTTCTTATTCTCAGCTATTAAATAACATCGAGAATAAAATTTCTTAGAAGAAAGATCATTGCAAGGTGTTTTGAAACTAGCTGTAGACAATTCGCTTTTGGCAGATGACATATTGGTCTCCCTTTAAATGTTGGTTTATTTTTTTTTTACTTTTTATCTCCTGAATTATAGTGCAAGAATAAGTCTTTACTCCTTGTATTCCTCTTGCCAATACGTATGAGATGAGCAGGAGATGTTGAGTTCACAAGTGGATGCAGCTCGTATTCTGGTTGATAAATTGATTACAGAAAATGCAGAGCTTATTGGGAAGGTAATAGAATCAGCTATACGTCCACTTGCCTTCATTTTGGCAACGTTTTACTTCAGTTTGTTCTGGATTGACGTGTATTCAAAGAGATTCTAATTGCTGAACTCCTGATATCATGTTTTATGATAGAGTAATACTACATTAGATGCAGAGTAGCTGGTTAGATCATACAAAAGTTAATGAAATGATCGTCTTTGCTTTATTTTGAGGTTAACATCTCGCCCTGTGTATTCTTATTAGGTGAATGAGTTATATGTTGAGCTTCAAAGGGTTACAAAGGCTGAGGTAAATTCAGGCATGGAGCCTGACCAGATGGTTGAAGCTACTACCAACACTGCTACTTTCAACGAACCTGAACCTCCCTTGATTCATAATATGGTCACATCAAGTAAAAGTTTGGACGCATTAGAATCTGTTCCAATCCACAACCATAGCGTTGGCTATAATATTGTGGACATGGACAACGATTTGCTTCTGTCTCCAACCTCTTTAATACTGCCAATGGAGGAGGGAGAAATCGAACAAATTCCACCTCAAGAAAATGAAGATAGGAACAGGAACCGAGAACTGTCGGGTGCAGAGAGCGACGAGGAGGATGTGCTTCTTTCAGATGCCCCTTTGATTGGGGCTCCTTATCGGTTGATATCATTTATGGCTAAATATGTAAGCGGTGCTGACTTGGTTGGCAAAAGCTGAGTTATCATTCTTTTACACGAGAGACTAATCATGAAAGCTGCCCCCCACAGGTATAGAATCAAAAGCTTAAGATGATAAGCGACTTTTTCGTAACCATATCACATCCGGGATATGATGAAATAGGACTACCATTGAGTTTTTTATGGGCATTCTTTCAAATACCCTTATATCAGACTACCATTGAGTTTTTTATGGGCATTCTTTCAAATACCCTTATATCAGACTACCATTGAGTTTTTTATGGGCATTCTTTCAAATACCCTTATATCGCCCGTTTCAAAACCCACCGTTTCATGATCTTTATACTTTTGAGACTTCATTTTCACATGTTTTGAGCTAATTAATGAAATCCTGTCTTACATCGGATGAATGTTAGAATAACACTAACACATCATTTTGATGGTTGTATTTTATGTTTGATTCTATTTTAATCTTTGTACGTCTAATTTTAGTTTAGTTTGTGTACTTTCAATAAATTTTAATATTGATTTCTATTGTTAGTTTGAAGTTAATTTTTCATTGAAATCGGTTAATAATTATAATAATTTTCAGGTAGGAAAGGCACAATATGTTCATATTTCTAAAATGTATGGGGAAAGACAAATATGGACTGATTTTTTCTCCCGAAAAGTTAACAACAAACTAACAATTGGGATGGATTTGAAGCTTTATTGAGATTCCAAGGACTATAATTGGACAAATGTGTCCATCCCCTTGCTTCTATCTCTGTTCAGTTAAATGGAATATATATATGTGTGTGTATATATATATATTGTGGATGATTATTCTACGAATCTACGCAGTATCTCAAGCATTGAAACAAGGCGACATGGGAGTAGTATCTCAGGCATTGAAACAAGGCAACATGGGAGAATCGTGCGCTTGAAAAACCGCCCCCAAAAATTACACAATTGGCACACAAACAATGATGGGTCGTTTTTAGACGCAATGCTAAAAATGCAAAAATTCATGAGATGTCACAGTCATACTTGTCTAAGGTGTGAGCCTGTGACTGTATATCAGATGTCCCGAACATATTATCCATGGCCACATATGTGTTCCAAACTCCATTTACTTACTTTCGTGTTAGGCTGTTGTGTCGATACAAGGGTGTATGACTGGTTGCCAAAATCATGTCTATACTCGCCAAAGCTAAAATGTCCCAAAATGTATCAGGGATGTGACTAGTTGTCAATTTTTACTACCTGATTTATATGCTATCAAAGCTGTGGGCGTTGTCTATTCGCTCTTAGCTTATAACATTGATTTCTTTCAAACTGCATTCCATTTTCTAATATTTCTCTCAAACATGATCCAAGACTCCTCGGGCATATGCCAATATTATCCGTGTAGTCCAAATTTCACATAGCTGACTTGTTAGCTGGGTTAAAACAAGTGTCGCACAATCGCTATCCCTCCGCCGCAAGAGTGCGATTGTGACATGAGACACCCAATGGAATTCTAAGTCCCCAAAGGCCGTAAGCAATAGCATTAATCTAGGACAAACTCCCAAGAAAAAGAACCTTTCCATTTTCCTACTAACGTTTTTCTCTTTAATCAAAATCCATCCATGTAACCTTTACTTTCTGTTGTTCTTATCCGTACTGTGAACAAGAAAGAATCAGCTATTTGAAAAACCTTACCCGGGTTGCTATTTGAAGAACCTTACCCGGGTTAGAGTGCCTGTAACGAAGCAGCCACTCCCAACTCAAGAAATTATTTGTAATAAACATACAATCTTAACAAATATTACCTGCCTATTCCTATTGCTCGTCTCTAATAAAATATTAGACACTTTTCAGAAGTCACTAACACAAGAATAAATTCAATAATTATATTCAGTTTATAAGACAGAACGACCTCACCAGATGGGAACCTCTCCCAAGCAAAACTACATAATCTTCACTCACTAAGCCCTTCTCTTTTCTCTCTCAGTAGAAAATGAGGAAACAAAAAAGACATTTCTTAACATTCTGTTGTTTATAAATAAATAATAAATAAACTCAAAAATGAATATTGACCATCAATTTTTGTAGTTATGCTAGTTACTGAATCCTAACCTGTTGGCAGGCATTTCAGTGATCGATTTGCATAATAGAGAGGAAAAACGTCTCGGCCAGTAATGCGAGCTCTCAGCCACCGGTTTTAGCTCGCTTCATCCCACTCGAGTTGAAAGGTGAAACACTACCACCACTCGGACCAGGACTTTCCTCTCTGAAATTTGAATTCAGCATTGCTAATTCGCGCAGTTGTTGTCTTTTGATATAATCATTCGGCTCGTCCTGTAAACACAACGGACGACCATTTAGATTTGTATGTAAAAAACCACTACTCCTAAACACATGGATTGCAAGAATCATTTCTTTCTTTTCTGTTCTTCTTGGACTGCAGATGTCAACCATGATCACCCCAAGGACATGTTTAATAGCATCTCATGAACAAAAACACATGCAATGACAAATAATTCATCTATTGGACCCATCTCTATCATAAACTCAAATTAAACTTGATAAGAACTAGGTTGGAAAGTAAACAGTACCACAGGTTTGAGTAGTTCTTCTATAATTTCTTGTGCCTGTCTCAACCTGATATCGATGATATTGGCTGGTAAGTCAGCCTCGATGAGGACATGCAGCGGTTCGTTCAGATGTTCATAGCCAAGTCTCCCTCGGAGTTTCTCTTCCTTCAGAGTTTAAAACAGTCATAGATAAAGAAATAAATAACCAGAGAACTCAATATTAAACATTAGTAGATACTACCATCAAACACAATAAGAAACATCCATTGGTAAAAGCTTCACTTAAAGAGCAATTTCACCTAAAATACCTTTTCTGGATCTTTAATTGACCCCTTTCCTCTTATATACACACGACACCCGGTAGTAGCTTCTACCCTTTTTAGAGAATTGCCTCTAGGTCCGAGAAGCCGCCCAACAAAATTGAACTGACGTCCAAGAAACAAAACAACCAAAAGTTTTATAAATCCAGATCTAATGATAAGATTAGAAAAAAAAACGTACAATAATACTTCTTTATATAGAAATTACATTCGGATACGTCTCCACTGGTATTTCCAACCGCAAAATTTTCTTTACAGTAAATGAACTCGGGCTTGCAGGAGCACCTTGCCAGTCCATTGTCGTTCCAGGATTTCCACTTAATCTGGGCTGTGAAAAGAAAAAACAAGTGGTATTGGTGGTCAAAGTTGATTTTACAAAAAAAGCTAGTGTACAAGGCCTAATAATTTCACAAATTTGGGTTGTATGCATCTTATATAACACTAGGAAAAATTCTAGAAAGCCTGCAAGTCAAGATAAATGTAGAAGACAAGATGGAAGTTTCTACTACCTTCCCAAGAACCCAGGAAAACAATCCCATATTAAGAACAAACAATTGTTTCTTACTTGCATGAGAGATAGATGATTAGCATACAGCATATAAATGACAAGAACTAAAAAAGATGTAAGTTCCTCCATTCCACATCACTTTGAAGCCTGTTGCAGTTTGCAGTAATACTATTGATTAGTTCATTGTGCTGGTATACATTCTTTCAAGTTGCACGAGCAACGATAACTTGGGGGCTTTAACTTAAAAAATAAATGTCTCGTTTGATAACCATTTGATCTTTGGTTTTAGAAAATTGTGCTCGTTTTCTCATCAATTTTCTACAATGAATTTTATCTTTTTTAAGAATACATTTGAATTCTTTCCAAATTTCAAAAACAAAAACTAGTTTTTAAAAACTAATCTTTTTTAATTTTCAAAACTTTTGGTCTTTTAAAACATGGATAAAAAGTAGATAACAAAACAAGAAAACATTGGTGGGAAGTATTTATAGGCTTAATTTTAAAAAACCAAACGATTATCAAAAGTGACCCTAAATGAAAACTATCTACCATATATGCATGGTTTCATGATGACTATTACACTTTTATTTAAGCAACTTGATCATAGAGAACTACCCTGCATAGTAAACAGTCAAATTAGCTCCAGAGTTTCTCAGTATACAGCCTCGAGAGGACTAGTCGAGAAGACATAGAAGTAAACTCGACCAATTCACATACAAGTTCATTCCTACTTTATCTAGCAGTAACAGCCACTTCAGCGTACAACTTGGCGAAATAGAGTGACAATTAAAAAAAAACAAAAATCATATAATTGTAGAAAGTTCACAGAACATGAGTTTTCTTAGGCAACCATCTAATAAATTAGGAATCAAAATTTTGTTAGAACTTCAAAATGTCAAAAGCCAATTTGAGCATTACATGGCGGTTGGTAGCTTTTAAGTTGGATAAGTTTCAACCAAACATGCACCACCAGAATTCCAATGAGTGATCTGTTCAAATGAATCTTACGAACTCACTATTGGTCTGAACAAACTTACCTCCTGAGGGAGTCCATTCCAGCTGCCAAAACCTGTGCCAGAAATGTTTGACATGAGGTTTGAAGAAGCCATTGGACTAGGGCTTCTATGTCGTAATCTGTCGAAGTCACTAAAACCCTGGTTGGACATCATTCCAGAAACTCGCAAAATCTCTGCACATAAAGTAACTTGTCATAAAAAAATCACAATAACCTTTGCTTGAACATCATTCCAGAAACCTGCAAAATTTCTACACATAAAGAAACTTATCATATGAAAAAAAAAAAAAAAGATCCACAGTTCTGAAGTTTAGAACGTGCAAAAAGTACGACATGGATTAGCAGAGTCAAATATAGATACCAGGTTAGTTCTTCATCAATTGAGCAAGAATTTGATTTTTATTACTGTCTAGGTAGGCTTCTCAATAATTATTTAGGTTCTTATTTAAGATAGTTGAATGCTTCAGAGGTCTGAAGCATTGGCCAGCAAAACATGTCTCATATTTCATTAATATTTCTGCCTTTTACTTATCATGGGTAATAGGGGGTGAATATTCCATTAATATTTCTCCAGATCTTAATGCACGTCTTGAAATTTCTTATTCCTTGGTGAAAATTTTGTATAAACTGATTGTGTTACATGTGATTGTGGATGAATTAATTGATAGGCGTTGATTCTTATTGGTTTTTTTGAAATGCAATGGACTATTAGGATGGTTTTTTTAAATGAATTAATTGACATGTGATTAGGATTTTTTGAAAACGCTTAGTGAGAGATTTCCATACTCTTGTAAAGAATGTTTCGTTCCCCTCTCCAACCGATCCACAATCCACTCCCCTCCGGTGCTGAGGGTCCTCGGTAGCACTCGTTCATCTCTCCCATCGATGTGGGATCTCATAATTCACTCCCCTTCGGGGCCAGCATCTTTCTCGCAGATCGGACATTAGTTGGAGAGAGAAACGAAGCACTCTTTATAAGGGCGTGACAAGCTTTATAACGAAGCTGTTTTGTGGCAAGCTAGTTTCTTGGTGAATATTTTATCAAAAAGGAATAGGATATTTCTTGGGATGGAAGGAGACGGATAGATACTCAATCTGTCTTGAGATTGGAAATAAGATAGTAAGCACGAAATTACATTGGTTTATAGCATTTAAAAGGGCTATCATTCTCCTGCAAAACTAATACCCAAAATTCTGCCTACAAATGCTCAAGTCACTCTATATATAGCAATCAACTCAAACAAACTTCTCAAATAATAACAAACACACCACTTATAATATTCTCTGCTAATACTCCAACTGATCTAGATTTTGGTTCAATTTAATGTCTCGACCTTGTACTAACTTTTTTTTTTTTTTGCTGCTCAAGATCATGAAAAGTGAATTAGTGTCAATTAAACTCACTTGCATAAATGCTTTAGGAAAGAGATTTTGCCTGAAAACTTGCAAGTTTGTCACTAGAGTGAGTTCATGACCACTAACAACTTATATGTAAATGTAACAACATGAATTTTTAAAGCTGTTAAAGTATGTATTGCAAAAGCTACTCCAAGAACAGCTAACACTAAAGTAGAGTAATCACTGAAGAGTAGTTCAACATTTACAGTCAATAGCAAGAACAACAAGTACAACAAAATTGATGGAGCTGCCGATTCAGAGTACTCCAGAACAACCTTCAGAATCTCTAAATTCCATCAACACAAGAAGCATCTCATTCATATAGATTATAAAATAGAAATCTCAGATTAGATATACAAATGGCAAGAATCTCAATCTTATAGATTACGAAATCAAAAGGGGCGGTGAAGATTGGATGATGAAGGCGATCTAAGTAGATAGGCAAGAACAGTGGCAGCGAAGAGAAAATCACAGAAAACTCACCTTGATTCAAAAGGCGTTTACAAATAGGAAGGATTTGCATGAAGGGACCGAGTTTCTGATGCTCAGCCAACAGCTCCGACAAGTACTGACTGAGGGAGAAAAAGGCGGAGAGAGATCAGAAGACGAGGAAGAAGATGAAGTGATAGCATATGCTTGAAATTGAGATAGATAAGGTACCTGTCAGCATCGGCGGAGGTCCGAATCTGAGGAGAAGCTGCTCTTGCAGGGGAGAAGTTGGGATTATACAAACCTGACATTACTGGGAGCTTGCTTTTTGATGCAAGCTTGATTGAATTATTCGGAATCTGAAGAAATGAAGAAAGAGATTTGAGGAGTTCTTGATGCGGAAGAAAAAGGGAAGACAGAGGCACCAATAAAGGGGAGCTCAGCTCAGCTCTGGGGTCTGCAGTGAGTGAGAATTTGCAGAAAGGAAGGGATTTTTTTTATTTTTTATTTTTTAAATATATTTTAATTTTCTATTCACCGTTTGTGAGACAAAATTGTAAGAGACAAAAGTAAAGCGAAATAATTGGAAGAAATTAAAATAAAAAGACAGAAAAACAAATGGGACGGGAAGAGGGACATCTTGCTCAGGAAGATAAAACTATATTTTTTATTATTATTATTATTATTTTTCAATTAATTTCAATCTCGACACACCGTCTTGTGTCTACCCCTTTGGGAAACAGCCTCCTCGCTAGTACATCGTCCGGTGTCTGGCTTTGATATCATGTTAGTTGAACACGATTCTCCACAATGGTACGATATTGTCCACTTTCAACGTAAGCTCTCATGCCTTTGTTTCGAGATGAGAGCTTATGCTCAAAGTGGACAATATCATACTATTGTGGAAACTCGTGGTTCGACTAACAGTGACCACTTTTAAATGACAGATTTTGCATCGAGATGTCCACGAGGTGGAGGTGGAGATACAAAAGCCTTCTCTATTCTCATTTCTATCACCTATTTCATTCCTCGTTCCTATGAGATTCTTCATTTATTTTTATGAGATCACAGAGGGTATTCTTTACAAGAAATTGACTAGAATTAGGTTCCACTAAAAAATTTCCTCTTTCGTTATTTTTTTAAAAAATAATTAATTATTGTATATGTTTTATTTTTAAATTATTATTTACTGATAAAATTATTTTTGATATAATAATTGTCAAATATAATAAAAACACTACAACAATAGTGATTTGTTGTTATTATTATTATTATTAATAAATTAATAATTGAATCGACAATAATGCTCTCAAACGCGCAAATAACATGAATAAATTAGTCAAATTAGTACCAAAAAAACTAATTAAAATGTTAAACACATTAAAACCAATGTGGAAACTAACAAGTTAACGTAGGGGCAGAGGAAATTTTCGGTGGAACGGTGAAATACGCAGAGAAAGTACTCTGTTGGGCCGAGAGCTGAAAGCTAGGGGGAGTGAATGAGATGAAAGCTAGGGGAGTGAATGAGATTAGATACCCTAGAAGTCCTAGCCGTGAACGATGGATACTAGACGCTGTGCGTATCGACCCATGCAGCAGCTAACGCGTTAAGTGTCTCGTCCATTCGCAAGAATGAAACTCAAAGGAATTGACGGGAGCCCGGAGAATATTACATTTATCTAAAGAAAAAAACCTCTATACATTTTTATTATTTTATATTTAAATGGCAGCAGACATCAAAATCAAGGACAATCTTTCCTTTTGCTAAAAATTTGAAGGTTTTATTAGACACACGTGTTATGCATGCGTAAGTGAGAAATCACTTTTATAACAAACCCGATGGAGAAATGGGCCAGCCCAATATCAATTTCTTAAATTTCAATTTTCACCCCAAATCTCTCCCATATTCAATTTTCACCCCAAAAAAACCCTCTCATATTCAATTTCCCCCAATATTCTCTCATATTCAACCACCACGGTAGTCATTTATTCAAATTTTTAATTAAAAATAAAATATTAATACCTAAAACATTCAATTATTGAATTAAAATTTAAGTATTTTCAATATATATTTTAAAATTAATCAGAGAATTAATAATAAAAAATATAATTACGTCATTAAATAAATTCATAATATAATTCTTAAAATTGTTGTATTAAATCCAAATGCAACTTAAATATATTTAAAATTTTCGAGATCAAATTTATTATAACAATCCGACGAGTAAATAAGTTATTTCCCATTAAATTCGGGTAACTCGGGTAACTCAAATAAATTTAAATTTGTCGGACCATATCCTTTTAGTGATCGTCAATTCTAATCGAGAGAGCTGTGTAATTAAATTTGTGTAATTAAATTAATTATGAAATTAAGAGAGTTTAAAACTAATTAATTAGGAAAATCGAATACAATACAATAGAAATACATGGATGAAAGGAAAATACTGTGTGGTTGATGATTTTTGTATAGAAAAATCCAAAGCAAACAAAAACATTAAAATAAAATAAAAACAAATATTATAAAATAAAAAAAAGGAAAAAAAAAAGAACCCAAGGTTGGATTCGATCCATGGCATGGATGATGATGGATGAGAGAGGATGGATCATGTCCGGACAATAACACTGCGCATCATGTCCTTAAACTCAAAGAAATCGACCCGTCCATCTTTATTACGATCAACGGACAAGATCATCTTCTGAACGCTATCGATCTCATTCCCTTCCGACAACCTCAGCTTCCTCAGCACCACTTGCAGCTCCGCCGCGGAAATGTACCCATCGCCGTCCTCATCGAACACCCTAAACGCCTCCGTCAGATCCGACTCCTCCTGCGACATCCTCTTTTCTTCTTCATTCTGTTCATTCACCTCCCCGTCCTGTCCGCCGAAGTAGGCGTCGTTCAACGACTGGTGCAGCGCCGCGAAGTCTTCAAATCTCAGCCCCTCATTTCCCGGCTGGATGAAGGAGTTCACGGTGGAATCCAGCTCGGATTCCTCCGCGTCCAGGCCGAGCAGGGACAGAGCTTGCCCCAGCTCCTCGCTGGTGATCATGCCGTCGCCGTTCTTGTCGAACATGTCGAATATGCGACGGAGACGGAGGGAGTTCAGGCTAGGGCATCGGAGCTGGAACGAAGAAGAACTCGACGGTTTCTTCGACAGCCGTGGTCGGGAAACGTCTGATTCCGATGAGGCTTCGCCGTCCATTTCCAAACACTGCACCAAAATTGGCGTCTTCACATAATTTCATCGACCAATTATAAGGCCTTGCAATTTCCATTTCGGATTTCAGAAATTATATAAATATAATACTTTTCTTTTTTATTTTTAATTTTAGTAAATTCAATAAAATTAATTAATTAATTAATTATAAGGGATGATCCGTGCTCGGCGGACCTAGAGTCCTTGACCTCGCCCTTTTTTTTAAAAATTATAATTTAAAATTAAATATTTATGAGTGTGATGGAAATTATTAATAAATAATTAATCAAACTTTAATTCTCCACCATATTTATTCTATCAATAATTCAACCACTCATAAAAAAAAAAAGTCCAAATTTAGAGTAGGTATTAAATTTATTTATTTATTGAGAAAATAAAGAAAACTTGGATCTAAATATAAATATCTAAAAAAATATTATAATTTTAAATTATTTTTTTTATGATATAATTTTAGATTTTTTTCTTTAATTATTTTATTATTTTATATACGTTGGAGCTAGCACGTATTTTTTAATTTTAATTTAATTATTTTATTATTTAATAAAAAAATATATATTGCAGTTTTTTTATACATGTGTTTTCTCACTTGATTTTTTTTTTTTAATTTTCTGTTAAGCCGTTAATATTAAGTATTTTAACATAGTTAAATTTTCAATCGATTAATATATATATTTTTTCAATTTTGTTTTATAATTTTCTTTTTTTATAATTATGGGCTCATCTATGATTTAAATATTTCTAAAATATCTCTATGATAACGAACAAACTTATTATATGTATGAAATAGGAGGGTCTCTTTCAAGTAAAGTTTTTTAGGCTCGGGCTGGAAGAACCCCGCATCATTGCAACTCTAAATGGGAGCTCTGAGTGTAGGAGCGTCTGTTTCAGGCAAAGCTTGAGTGTAGGAGGGTGATAAGATAAGGAATCAATACAAGAGGAATAAGATTCGGATTACCTTGTTGATCGAATATCTCAAGGCAAGAACACTTGATTGAGATTCGAATCACTCCAGAAGCAAGATCGATCATGTCTAGCTTCAATGATTCTTGTTGATCAAATATCTCAAACACTTGTTTGAGATTCGAATCACTCCACAAGCAAGATTGATCATGTCAAGCTTGAATGATTCTACATGCAATCTAAACTACATAGAATTGCAAAGAAACTTAGCCATCGGCTAAAGAAAAGCACAAATGCTTCTTTTGATATATCTTCTAAGTCTTCCTTACAAATACAACAAACATGGCTTTGTATAGCCTCAAAATGAAAATTACAAAAGTTGTAACATTCACACTTTATGGCCATAATTAGCCATTATGTAAATGTAACCGAAATTAAATAAAAAGTCTTAAAATACAATAACTCTAAATTACTTTAAATGATTGTTGTAAATTTTGGGTGGGTTATAATTTAGAGTAATTTAGAGTAATTTAGAGTTATTGTATTTTAAGACTTTTTATTTAATTTCGGTTACATTTACATAATGGCTAATTATGGCCATAAAGTGTGAATGTTACAACTTTTGTAATTTTCATTTTGAGGCTATACAAAGCCATGTTTGTTGTATTTGTAAGGAAGACTTAGAAGATATATCAAAAGAAGCATTTGTGCTTTTCTTTAGCCGATGGCTAAGTTTCTTTGCAATTCTATGTAGTTTAGATTGCATGTAGAATCATTCAAGCTTGACATGATCAATCTTGCTTGTGGAGTGATTCGAATCTCAAACAAGTGTTTGAGATATTTGATCAACAAGAATCATTGAAGCTAGACATGATCGATCTTGCTTCTGGAGTGATTCGAATCTCAATCAAGTGTTCTTGCCTTGAGATATTCGATCAACAAGGTAATCCGAATCTTATTCCCCTTGTATTGATTCCTTATCTTATCAGAGGGTCCCTTTCGGGCAAAGTTCTTTAGGCTCGGGTTGAAAGAACCCTGCATCATTGTAACTCTAAATGTGGGAGCCTTGAGTGTAGGAGGGTCCGTTTCAGGCAAAGCTTGAGTGTAGGAGGGTCGCTTTCGGGCAAAGTTCTTTAGGCTCGGGTTGATAGAACCCCGCATCATTGTAACTCTAAATGGGAGCCCTGAGTGTAGGAGGGTCCCTTTCAAGCAAAGTTCTTTAGGCTCGGGTTGAAAGAACCCCGCATCATTGTAACTCTAAATGGGAGCCATGAGTGTAGGAGGGTTCGTTTCAGGCAAAGCTTGAGTGTAGGAGGGTCCCTTTCGGGCAAAGTTCTTTAGGCTCGGGTTGAAAGAACCCCGCATCATTGTAACTCTAAATGGGAGCCCTGAGTGTAGGAGGGTCCCTTTCAAGCAAAGTTTTTTAGGCTCGGGTTGGAAGAATCCCACATCATCGCAACTCTAAATGGGAGCCTTGAGTGTAGGAGGGTTCCTTTCAGACAAAGTTCTTTAGGTTCGAGTTGGAAGAACCCTGCATCATCGCAACTCTAAATAGGAGCTCGAGGGTAGGATCTAAGCTAAAGGAGCCTCACTGTGAATGGGAAGGTTGTAAAGATAAAAAAAGGGAGACAATGTAAAATAAATTTCAATATTATCGCGTTAAATAGGGTTATTTTGATAAGAATCTAATTTAAATAAAGTAATATATATCAATTTCATAAGAAAATAAACAAAAAAAAAAAAAAAAAAAAAAAAAAAAAAATTTTTTT